TTCAGATTCGTTGTTTTGAAGTTTATTTTTAGATGTAAAGGTCAAAAACGAAGTAAGATTACAGAAGCCGTTACGGTGCAATTGAATACATCACAATCGTTTCATAACTTGAAAAGGTTGGTGATACCTTTATGAAAACATCCCATTTTGAAAGAGAGTGGTGTTCGGTAACGGTTGATAAAACAAGCCAGTTTCAAAGGACTGAGCGCTATATTAGATTCTTTCTGTTATGTGTAACTGAGCCAAACAGACTTTTAGGCGAGCTTCTAGCCTGAAAGTTCCCATTATCAGGCACGTCCTCAACTCTCAAAGACTCCAAACCAGGAATTTAGGTCACTTATGGTCATGCTTTTTTAGCTCTGTTGGGGCTAGTCGGTGAAAGTTATAGTCCTTTTATGATGGGGGAGGGGGGGGGTATGTTTGCAATGTGATTCAGAGACCAAACTGTTTTTCGAAAAGAAATGAACAAAAAACAATGATAAAAAGGAATCTTTCAGTCACCCAGGATATTTTGAGGCTGAAAATCTATTTTCTTGTTAATTAATATAACTATGGTGAGATATTAATATTATAATTCCTGCTCTCTTTTGAACTCGGAGCTTGGTGTAAATGGATTGTTTTTCATGTAATGAAGTGGCCTTACTTATAATTTGTGCTTACTGAATCACAGTTTTAAGAAAATGAGGGTCATTTTTTACAGATACCCTTGTTTTGCATCTGATTTTCTCCATTCAGTCGTCAAGTTCAAACTCTGTCCTTTCCATTTTTTATTAAAGTTTCAAGCGTCCTTCTCACTAAGAAATTTCACTACAGGGAGAAAGTTGAGTCTCACTTGGCATAAAGCAAAATGCTTGGCAAAACTTAATGCAACTCAACAAAAAAAGAAAAAAATAGAAGTGGGTGTTTTACGCCCACTTTTATATAATTTAAAAATCATTCACGAGGCTGGCTTCCGACCATGCCTACCAGGGCCAACCTGGGGTGAGAGGGATACATTCCTGTAGGAAGATCGAAATGAATGGTACACGTGATTCTCGATAAAAAAATATATTCTCCCCACTCTGGAATCGAACTCGGGTCTCCTGCGTGCGACAACGAAACGCCCAACCGCTACACCAAAGACGTCCGTCGCTCAAAAGAAAGTATTATGTTTATTACAGCATATTTGTATCCCTTCGACGTGACGACCGCCAGCGCACACGATGACTTTGCTCAAGGAGACTCGGTTCATACTGCAATAATACGGTGACATAATTCACACGGCCGAGGTGCTTCCAATAATTTGTACATGCATTTGCGTGGGGTTTTTGCTACCCTTGAAAGTAGTTGTACTGAAAGTAGCCTTGAGTAATATTCTAAGCTTTTCTGGGAGTAATTTAGTTTAAAAAGCAATATCTAGTCGTTGAGGGTTGTTTTTTTTTTCAATTCTGACTGCCAAAATGTGACAATTTAATAACAGCGTTGACCATAAAATGTGGGCGCCCGTGCACGTATCCTAGACTGGCCCTGAAGGGGAGAGTAAAAGGACTGTTGGAAGCACAGACTTATGCTATTTACTTAAAGTACACGATTATGGTTGGTTGGAAGTCAGTTACTCCAAGGGTACGTTCTGTACACTCATGGTTATTATGAAAGGCCGTTATACTATGACCTTATTTTCTGTGTAGGGTCTTCTTGATTCTCAAGTTGTCGCCTAGGTCCTCTTGACACTTTTTCATTTTCAGTTGAACTTTGACTACGGTTTTAGTGAGATAAATAAATATTATGTTACTTCACTCTTATAGCGTTTATTGGTAAGCTATATATCTAAGTGTTGCCATAGGTCCAACTGGAGATGGTTATAACAACTGGTTAGTAGTTAATTGTTTAGTTCATGTTAGTCCTACATTCCTCTGCTCTGTCGAGTCTCGAGGTGGGCACCCTCTGTCCCGCTCCTTAGTGGAGTCGTCTTTACAATGTCATCGAAGATTCCGAAAGTTTTCACGAAGTCTCATACTATGGTGGTGACATTGTCAGTATTAGTACCTTAAGTACTGGGCCAAGAAGTTGGGAATAGATAGAGATGCACATTCTGCTGGTATGGGGTTGAGTTTTTGTGATTACATCTGTATGTTTAGTCTCTTCTTAAGCTTTCCATCAGTTGTCTTAGTGTTCAGAAACCAGATAGACGTTACGCATTTATGAGGATCCCAATATGCATTTTTGTCTGTCTGTCTGTCTTACTCGTTCCCAGCATTAAATGACCATTATTGTGACAACGACAATGACAGAAACAATTTTCATTCATTTCACAGAGAGAATATTGTCTTGGTCGATGGCAGTGGAATGATACAAATGTTTGTATTGATGCACTTCTCTTTTCTCAAACAAACCAATTATGCAGCTTAAAGATAACATTATAGCCACCTGTCTTTA